TTCAGTTTAAAGAGAAAGTGCTGTGGACAGCCATCACCCTCTTTATCTTCTTAGTATGCTGCCAGGTAAAAAGCCCAGGCTTCAGGTTTTGGTGTTGGAGTGGGGTTAGGAGTGGGCTGGAAATGAGGTGCTGACCCCTCTTCTCTCTGCGTGTTTCCAGATTCCCCTGTTTGGCATCATGTCTTCAGACTCAGCTGACCCTTTCTACTGGATGAGAGTGATTCTAGCCTCTAACAGGGGTAGGACTCTGGCTCACTCTGCCTCTTCTCCACACACTGTGGGCTCGACCAGCTTCAGTTTAATTATAGGCTTTGGCTTTATATGGACGTCAGAGAGTGGGAAGTGAGGAATGTCAGCATGCCGCATTGAATATCCTAATTAAATCCTGCATTCCTCAGCACTGAGGAATACCATCGTGTTTGGAATTGGGTATAAATACAGTGCAAAACCTGTAATAACAAGATAAGTCTACGTTGTAGAGAATTTTAAGAAACATGGGAAAACTAGAATACCTTGTAAATACCTGAAATGATGGGGTGTCGGTTGATAACATCCTTTAGAATGTGTGATTTGTTTCTCAGCTGCATCTTTTCCATATCTATAGGTTAGGCTTATGTGTCATACCACTGTTTTGTATATTCCAACTAGTCACCTGCAGGTTCTGGGAGGATTTTTGAATGTGTATGTTGATACTGATTTGATTAATCCATTTTAAAAATGTAACTCAAATTAAGTTCCAAATCGGTCAAAAGTATAGCTCATTTTAGCATAATGGGAAGTAGAGGTTTGTTTACAACTAGATGCAGCTGCACCAGCCCTGTTTGCAGACTCTGGAAATGATTTGAATGTTATCCTTTCTTTATTAACTGATGAAGAGACGAACCTTTCTTATCTCTGTAAGTCCAGAATAAATCTGTTCATGGTGAATTTAAATGCAGCAGTCTGTTTAGACACCATGTGACTTCCAGAGTAAACAGAGTAAGATGTTGCCTGGCAGACTGAACAGAATAAATTAAATTGTACCCTAATCGTTGGTATTGGGGGTTATTCTGTAAAGGCTGCTGGCCAACTGAAACACTGGATTTGTGTAAGGGGCACCCATCCAGTTTTGCTCATTCATTCTGATAAGAGGTGTTTTGCTTCTCCAAGGTAACGTTGACTGTCCTGCCTTCCTTTCCCTCAAGGCACGCTGATGGAGCTGGGCATCTCTCCCATTGTCACCTCTGGCCTTATCATGCAACTCTTGGCTGGTGCCAAGATCATTGAAGTTGGTGACACTCCCAAAGACCGAGCTCTCTTCAACGGAGCCCAAAAGTGTAAGAAAGCTTGTGTATCGTGTTCTGATGTCT